TTTTGTAAGTTCTAGTGATTCACTGCTTCCCAAAGCATACGGCTTGCCTAAAATTCATAAAGAAAATGTTCCATTCAGATTAATAGTTTCATCAGTTAACACAGCATTACACCATTTAGCTACACATTTACACAATATTTTAATGATAAGTTTACCTAAAGCGAATAGTCATGTAAATAATAGTTTTGAATTATGTAACACATTATCTAATCTTAAATTAAACAACAATGAAATAATTGTATCATTGGATGTAATATCGTTGTTCACGAATGTACCTCTGGACCTTGCAATAGACAGTATAAATAACAGGTGGCATTATATTGAAAACCACACATTAATTGGCAAAAATGAATTTGTTAATGCTATTATATTTATTTTAACTTCAACTTTCTTTACATTTAATAATACTATTTATAAACAAATTCATGGAACCCCTATGGGATCTCCAATCATAGCAGATATTGTTATGCAAGATTTAAAAACTACGATACTTGATACAATTAATGCAAATGTAAGATTTTACTATCGCTATGACATTTTAGTTTGCATGCCGGAGGATCAGGTCTCATATTTAGTTGAAAAATTTAATGATTATCACGATAGACTAAAATTTACAATAGAACGAGAGGACAACCGTTGCATAAGTTTTTTGAAACATTTCACTCAAAATTATAAATAACATAATTCACATTGATTGGTTTCAGAAAAAAACATTTTCGGGTAGAACACTTTCATATTATTCAAATCATCCTATGTATCATAAAAAAAGTGTCATATATAATCTAGTCAACCGATCATTACTATTATCACATTCTATTTTTCACAGTAAAAATTTAACATTAATTATAGAGATTTTATTAAGTAATAGTTATCCTCTCGATCTCATTTTCTTAGAAATTAATAGAAGACTGAAGTTTCTCATAGTTAATAGATTAAACACCGAAATGACTCATAATACGAATAACAATGACATAAATAATGACAACAATAAAAAATTTATAGCGATACCATACATTGAAAGAATCTCGGAATTAGTAGCATCAGAGTTAAAGAAATCTAATATAACAGTAAAATACAGAAGTTTGAAAAAATTAAATAGAGTCATAAAAACACAAAAAGACAGAGATAATTGTCAGAATAATTCGGGTGTCATATATAAAAATGCAATAATTGTGATGCTACATATGTAGGGCAAACTAAAAGACAATTAGGCACAAGAGTAAATGAACATAAAAATAATATCAGATTGGATTCTGCAAGACACTCGGTGATTTCTGATCATATTGTAAAGTTTACACATACTTTTAATTAGAACAACACAAAAATCTTGGATCACGAAAGGAATTATTATAAAAGGTTGATATCGGAAATGATATATACATTAAAGAAGAAAAAAAACAGTATCAACTTAAAAAAGGACACCGAGCGACTTGACGGTTCTTATTTTGATGTTTAAAAAAAATGTCATCTTAGCATGGCGGTACTATATATACAGCGTTCTGACATTGTAATTTACAGATATTGAGTTTGCTTCTTATAAAGTATACATTGTTTATAATGTTTTTCAACAAGAAATATTTTAAAGAATTTTTATCGTCTCGACATAGATTAAGTGATCACTACTTATTTAAAAATCAAATATTCAATATTCAGGCTAACACATTAATTATTTTACAGCTTATTACATATCATTATTACATCATGGATTACAAAATTAGACGTTTATTTAAAAAGAACTACAGAAATTTGATGTTCGGGATTAGGCTCTTTAACGACTAATTCGAATGATCAGCCGTAATTGAAGCCAACAATTATAATGTGTTCAAAATTGAGAAGAAAATTAATAATTGTTTAAGTCTATAATTTCAGTCTAAAAATCGATATTTTCTTACACGAATATGCAAAAAAAAACCGCGGAAAAAGGGCTCGTTCGATATAAACAAGTAGGCGATAAATCAGGATTATCCTAACAAGCTGTCAATAATAACAACATTGCTCAACCGAAAGCAACGATTACCGCATTGATTATCGATGTAATAGACATGCGCCGTTCGATCACGTGGCTTCCGAAAGCCAATCGATCCCGCTATCGAGCGTTTCGCGCATGTCAGGTGCGTGCTTGTTTCGCGCAAATTACGGGGCGGCCAATAAAGACAGGCGCCCTCGCGTCACCTTCGAACATTTTTAAACAAACGAAATTAATTGGTGAAGCAAAAATTAGTGGGGCTTCAGTACCGCACCGATAAAAGAAGCGCCCACCAAAATTGCGGGGCTAGTCTCTCGAATCTTAGTACGTACAAACCGCTGTCAAACCGCTTAGAAATTACCGCAATTATTAACCGCACACACACTTTGAAATCGATCTCGGCTTATCTACTGGAACTTTTGTAAAATTACTGTATCGGCTAAACTGTGTTAAAGTAAACTCTGTGTTATTTTTTAAAGAGTGATCAATTCTTTTCGGCCTTCAAATACGCGCTCTCCTTCATGCGTACGCGCAAACATATTTTTGGTCCTTCGAGCCGGATTATCAGTTCGTCGCGCCGGCACGCGTGTGAACGTTCTTGAAGACGAGAGTGAAGTGCCTGAAAAAGAAATACAGTGAGTGTCACATCATGGATGCCGCTATATTATTAGATAGTCAGCGTGAGATCCAAGTTCGAATCTCACGCTCTGTCGAATACCTGAAGAAGATGGGCGCTCCTAACATCACATCCAGTGCCGTCACTACCCGCATCAGACTTCTCGATCAAGCCTGGGATAAGTTCGTAATCCAGCACGATCAGCTGCGCATTGCCCTGAAAGATAAGTTTAGGGAAAGTGATTACGTTACTTCAGGACTCCATGATTTGACTGAAAATACGTACGTACAGCAAAGGAGCATCCTGGACGGCTACGCTGAACGCATTCGGTCAGCCTCGGAGACAGTCAAGTTAAACGAAGCCGCTCCTCGAACCGCATTACCTCGGGTCAGGATTCCGCAGTTTTCGGGAGCTTACTCCGAGTGGCCAACCTTCCGAGATCTCTTCCTGTCTGTCGTCGGTGATAACGCCACCATCTCTAATATCGAACGCCTGCATCATCTTCGGTCGAGTTTGAACGGACAGGCTGAAAAATTGATAAGCTCATTACCGGTGACAGGAGACAACTACGAACGTGCATGGACAATACTGTGCAAACACTATGAAAACGAGAGAGAACTCATCCGATGCAACTTCGCCGCATTCATCGCCGTACCGAGAATGAAGAACGGAACCGCTGAAGAACTGCATCGCATCCATAACGCTGCCGTCACAGTCGTCAACGCACAGGAAAGTATAGGTCGTCCCATTGAATCTCACGGAATGGACCTCCTAAACTACCTGATCGTCGAACAATTCGACGCACACACTCGGATGGAATGGGAGAATTCCATATCCGACTCCAACAAGTTACCACAGCACGAAACACTTTTGGACTTCATGACGCGACGGATGTTCACACTTAACGCCGTGCATCCGAAGACTCTCAAGAAGAACTTCGGAGAGTCTTCACGAACGGCGAAGACACATGTTGCGAAGCACGGAACTAACCTTCCACAATGCGCACTGTGCCATGAAAAGCACCATCTGATGACGTGTCGCGAATTCAAGATGAAATCCGCTGCAGATCGAAAGGCCTTCGTTGAGACACACAGACTGTGTTTCAACTGCCTCGGAAATCACTATCTCACAAAATGTCAGTCGAAGAAGAACTGCTACACATGCAAGGCACGTCATCACACTTTACTGCACGACGCATACAACACGGTCACCGCACATACACCAGAAGCCACTTCACTCGCCGCACTGCACAAAGCCAAGGAACAGAAGGCTGTGCTTCTCGCCACTGCTCGGGTGAACATAGCCGATCGCCATGGAGCACCGCACGACGTCCGAGCACTGATCGACCAGGGATCAGAGGTGTCGATCGTTTCTGAAGCACTGGTGCAACGATTGAACCTGCCTCGATCACGCACCGACATGGCCATCTTTGGGATCGGAGGCGCACGACCAGGGTCAACGCGTGGCACGCTGCACCTCACTTCGGACATCACGAACGCCCGGCTCTCCGTGATAGCGTTTATATTGCCACGCCTATCACTTCTTCAAGGCTCCACGTCCAGCACACTACAAGATTGGCCGCATATTCGAGGACTTCAACTGGCGGATCCTCAATTTCACGAGAACGATCCAGCCGAGCTACTCCTGGGAGCGGAGGTGTGCTCCTTAATTCTTGAAGAAGGTCTACGCAAGGGTGGACCTCAGATGCCAATTGCGCAGAAGACATCACTAGGATGGATACTCTCTGGAGGCTCCGACGTCGCATCCGCAGAAGAGCACCGTCGCACATTCCAGTGCACTGCCGATCACGAGCTACTCGAGCTGGTGCAACAGTTTTGGGAACAGGAACGGGAGACCAACGCAGTCACGACACTCTCCGTCGAAGAGCAGCAATGCGAGGAATTCTTCGTGCACACGCACACTCGCACCCCTTCAGGACGATATGTGGTGAAGCTGCCATTCTCCTCACCAATTACTGCACTCCGCGAAACCCGCAAACCAGCTGAGCGGCTTCTTACAACGATGGAGAGGCGATGCGTCCAGGACCGTCGATTCGGCAACCTGTATCGCAACTTCATGAAAGAATACGAAGACCTAAAACATATGACGCTGGTGACATGCTCCACAACTAGCAATCAGTCAACGTACTTACTACATCATGGAGTACTCAAGGAGTCCAGTGCCACGACGAAGCTGAGGGTCGTGTTCAATGGGTCGCAGCGAACGCGAACAGGAGACTCATTAAATGCACATCTCATGATTGGAGCAAATCTTCTGCCAGCTCTTCCTGACGTACTCCTTCGATGGCGTCAACACCAGTATGTCTTCGTTGATGATATAGAAAAAATGTATCGGCAAATACTCGTGCATCCGGATGACTGCAAATTCAAACGATCCTGTGGCGTCATTCAACTGATGATGAAGTGCGAGAGTACCAGCTGAGAACGGTCACCTACGGTCTGGCGTGTGCTCCGTTTCTCGCCATACGGACACTCCGTCAGCTCGCAACAGACGAAGAAGAGCAGTTTCCTCGTGGCGCCGTGGCTCTGCGTCGAGACTGTTACGTCGACAATGTGGTCACCGGCTCAAATACGCTGAACGATGCGATCGCACTCCAGACGGAAATTCGCAACCTCTGCTTGGCGGGCGGATTTCCGTTGAAGAAATGGGCAGCCAACGACGAGAGGATCCTGACTGGAGTACCAAGCAATCATCTTTTGCAGCAATTACCGCCAGCCTGGAAAGAAGAGAGCCACGCCACGCTAGGACTCCGCTGGCACCCGCAACACGACCAGTTCTCCTTCGTGTTTCATCCGCACGCTGCCATCAATCACACGAAGAGAACGGTTTTATCCGAAACCGCACGGCTCTTCGATCCAATAGGGTGGCTCGCTCCAGTCGTGATTCGAGCAAAAATTCTCATCCAATCCACGTGGCTGCAAGGATTGGACTGGGACACCCCGCTGCCGCCATCCGAAGCTCGAGAGTGGCAACGATTTCTAGAAGAACTCCACCTTCTAGATCAGTTGCGAATAAAACGCTGGCTCGGGACCGGAGCAGATAAGACCACGCTGCAGCTTCATGGCTTCGCCGACGCATCCGAACAAGGATATGCCGCCGCAGTATACATCCGCATCACTGAAAGGAACGAAACGTCAATAAGGTTATTGATGGCCAAAAGCAAGGTAGCACCCGTCAAACAAGTGACCTTGCCGAGGCTGGAGTTGTGCGCCGCCACGCTACTCACCAATTTGATGCGACATGTCAAACAAACGCTCGACCTGGCAACATCAGACACATACTTATGGTCTGATTCAACAGTGACCCTCCAGTGGATTCGCGGTCACTCCTCACGCTGGAAGACTTTTGTCGCCAATCGAGTCGCTCACATCCAGACGCAGCTGCCTAATGCACAATGGAGACACGTAGCTGGTCACGACAACCCTGCGGACTGTGCATCAAGGGGTATTAATCCAAGCGAACTGATCAATCACGCTCTATGGTGGACAGGACCTACCTGGTTATCACAGAACGAATCGGCCTGGCCAAACTCCGAGATGGAGATCCGAGGAGACGACGTGCCAGAAAGGAAAGCCACGAGCCTGATGACTGTGAACCGGGTCATCATCGAGCCAGAAATCCTGCTCCGCTTCTCATCACTGCATCGCCTGCTACGGATATCCGCATGGTGCCGTCGCTGGCTGCGCGCTTCCGAGCCGACTCACACTGCTGGATTAACGTTGAGTCCGGAGGAACTTGACATGACACTCTTTCGTTGGCTTCGAGAAGTGCAGACACTGCACTTCACGGACGAGATCACCGCAGTCGCAGCTGGACGCTCCGTCGCACCAAGCAGCACATTAGCCAAGCTGACTCCGTTCCTCGACGACCATGGTGTTCTGAGAGTGGGAGGTCGGCTTAAGAACGCCCTGCTGACACAGGATGAGAGGCATCCGATGATCATTCCAACCTCGTCGTGGCTGACTCGTCTGCTGGTGGAATCCTGTCACCGTCGGACGCTGCATGGAGGAGTGCAACTCACCCTGGGGCTGCTTCGACTGCGCTTCTGGATTCCACGAGGACGCACAGTCGTAAAACAATAACTACATCGTTGCGTCACCTGCACAAGATGGCGAGCAACGACGCTTCAGCCACCGATGGGTAATCTACCCCGCGATCGGGTCACTCCGACTCGACCATTTCTGCGCACTGGAGTGGACTATGCAGGACCCATCCTCATCCGGACGAGCAAGGGACGAGGACACCGCGCCTATAAGGGCTATATCGCAGTATTCATCTGTTTTTGGTCCAGAGCCATCCACCTCGAACTTGTCTCGGATTACTCTTCAGAGGCCTTCATCGCCGCTTTACGTCGCTTTGTCTCACGTCGAGGTCTCTGTACGGACATATATAGCGACTGTGGAACGATCTTCATCGGGGCTGACCGCACTTTACGTGAGCTCTTTGTCACTGCATCCACAGAGGGTCGTGGAATTGCACGCGTAGCTGCTGAACACGGCATACGGTGGCACTTCAATCCACCAGCAGCTCCGCACTTCGGCGGATTGTGGGAGGCAGCCGTCAAATCCGCTAAGTATCACTTACGGAGGGTGCTAGGTGAAACCACCCTCACCTTTGAGGAACTGACCACACTCCTCACACAAATTGAGGCCTGTTTAAATTCTCGTCCATTACAGGCACTCTCTGACGATCCAGACGATGTTACAGCACTAACTCCGGGCCACTTCCTGATCGGCGCGCCGCTTCTCGCCATCCCGGAGCCAGGGAGGACAACCGTGGATCCGCAGCATCACGATGGCATCATCTCCAGGCGATGCGCGACCACTTTTGGCGGAGATGGTCGGGAGAATACATCCATGGACTCACCTCACGACCTAAATGGCTGAAGGTCGAGACAACACTTCGCATCGGAGCACTCTGCCTTGTGCGCTCCGAGATTTCGCCTCCAAACCGGTGGCCTCTCGCCCGGATCACAAAACTGCATCCCGGCGACGACGGGATCGTACGCGTGGTCACCGTTCGAACCGCGACCTCCGAGCTCGTGCGTCCGCTCGTAAAAATTGTCTTACTTCCCGACTTCGCAACGGACGTAACGACACGCAACGCATAGACAGAAATGCACGACGCGTCACATCACTCACACATCTTTGCTCACGTTCATTCGCTATGCACTTGATTACACATCACATACGCACTGTAACCACTTTTTACATTCACGCACATTATTTCACATCGAAAACGCGTTTCACTATTCTCAGCTGATCGCACCACGCTGTCAACACGTGTTCATCGTTTCAGCTGATCGAGCGACATTCCACGCGATAATCACGTGTATCTCGCCGCGCCGGCGCGCGCCTACCCCACTATCAATCGCTATCGAGAATTTATAGCAACTTATTGTCAGCGGGTGACAAGGCGGGCGGGATGTTCAAAATTGAGAAGAAAATTAATAATTGTTTAAGTCTATAATTTCAGTCTAAAAATCGATATTTTCTTACATGAATATGCAAAAAAAAAACCGCGGAAAAAAGGGCTCGCCCGATATAAACAAGTAGGCGATAAATCAGGATTATCCTAACAAGCTGTCAATAATAACAACATTGCTCAACCGAAAGCAACGATTACCGCATTGATTATCGATGTAATAGACATGCGCCGTTCGATCACGTGGCTTCCGAAAGCCAATCGATCCCGCTATCGAGCGTTTCGCGCATGTCAGGTGCGTGCTTGTTTCGCGCAAATTACGGGGCGGCCAATAAAGACAGGCGCCCTCGCGTCACCTTCGAACATTTTTAAACAAACGAAATTAATTGGTGAAGCAAAAATTAGTGGGGCTTCAGTACCGCACCGATAAAAGAAGCGCCCACCAAAATTGCGGGGCTAGTCTCTCGAATCTTAGTACGTACAAACCGCTGTCAAACCGCTTAGAAATTACCGCAATTATTAACCGCACACACACTTTGAAATCGATCTCGGCTTATCTACTGGAACTTTTGTAAAATTACAGTATCGTCTAAACTGTGTTAAAGTAAACTCTGTGTTATTTTTTAAAGGGTGATCAATTCTTTTCGGCCTTCAAATACGCGCTCTCCTTTACACGTACGCGCAAACATAATGTGTTCTACTGCGTTTTTTCATATTATAAATCTATATATTTTACATGTATGATAAGTTCTGTCTTTCCAAATTATTTAATTTATGGATATGTTAGCAAAGCGATATTTGTATTGATAAAGACTGTCGTACAGTTGAAACGTTTACTAATTATCATTTGTATTATTTTTATGACGTAGAATAAATTGTTAACACCTAATTAATTAGCTCGTTAAGTTGGCCTTTTAATTTATAACTTATTTTAATTTTACACAAGCCAAATTTTATTTTGCATTATATATATTTACTTCTTTGTTTGCCGGAATAAATAATGTCCATGAATCAAGCAGTAACAGACTTTTTTTTCTTTGGTATTTCGTCTTGATTTTATTTCTCAAGAACTAATTTCCGCAACATAACTTTATTATATTTATACATATATAGTTAAATTTGGCGTAATACATAAGCTTTAAAATATATATAATTTAAAAATTTTCTCAAAATATAAAAAAATATTGAGTGGGAAAAGGGTAGTTTGAAAAATTGTATTATTTAAAAAAAATCCAAATACGCCATTGTAAAGTACATTTGAATCCAAACTTTAGTGTAACATTAAAATTTTTTATATTTCTATATAAAAAAACTATTAATCTCGGCTCGAATTATTGTGTTACAATAAAAATAAAATCTCGACGGCAATCGGAGCCTATGCGGATGACATGCACAAAATTAATAAATTAAAATGAGATCTCAAGTCAAACTCATTTATTAAATTCTAAACGTTTCGACCCACTTCGGGTCTTCTTCAGTAGAATCCGCAAATAAATTAAATATCATTCTCCTCCCTATTCAAACCGTCCGGCCGTCGGAGTGTTCACCGCACAGTCGTTAGAGTGATGTGTCACGTGTAGCATTGTCTTCTCTCTGTTTTTGCTGTCGGGTGTTGGTAAGGGAGTCACTGCTCCGCTTCCTTCCTGACGATGGTCACCGTTAGGGAGACACTCCGACGGCCGGACGGTTTGAATAGGGAGGAGAATGATATTTAATTTATTTGCGGATTCTACTGAAGAAGACCCGAAGTGGGTCGAAACGTTTAGAATTTAATAAATGAGTTTGACTTGAGATCTCATTTTAATTTATTAATTTTGTGCATGTCATCCGCATAGGCTCCGATTGCCGTCGAGATTTTATTTTTTTTATATTTCTATTCGTCTCGACAATATTCGCTTCGGAATGTAAAAACAGATTTTCTGACGATTGGTTGCACCCCTAAACCCATTTTTAGCACTATAACAAAAATAATTTCGTTATTAGACTTATTACCCTCTAAAATTGTGCTGAGTTTCAGATTTTTAAAATTTTCAACTTACCGAACGTTCCTTGTCAGCCAAATATAAACTTGTATCAATTTTGCAAATTATTATTTGATTTGATATATAGAATCACTTTTGTATTTTGAAGGATGCATAGTCAAAACGACCTGACATTGAAAGGATTAAAAGGACGAAAAATTTAGCCCGGGTCGAGACATTAAAATGACATCAATTTTTAATACAAGATCTAAATCGTTTTGACTATATAGATGATAACATCATACATAAAAATACATAGGTGACTTTGTGATAAATTTTTCAGATCAGATCTGCAAAATTAGAATTTGCAAAAGTAATACAAAATATATGGCTGAGTAGCTTTTTTAAATATTTAAAATAATAAAACTTTGTTTATATACTTTAATTTTTATTTATTTGGCGCAGTTTTTTGATGTCATAATTCTTTTGTAGAATATATATAATTTGTAAAATATATATAATTTGTAGAATTTATATAACTAAATTTTGTAGAACAATTTTTTGTGGGACAATTTCTTAGTAATTAAAAAATAACATTGTTTTTTTTATATAATATTTTTACTTGGCTCTTTTTTACCTTTTTTTAAAAAAGTAAGTTTTTTTATAGAAATAGTCTTACATTTATTTAAATACATTTTCTTGCAATACAATAGAAGCTGCTTTGCAGCATAAAAATATTTGTGTCGCATTATATCTATTTTGACCTATTTAAATTCAAAATTTTCATAATATCCGTTAAACTTTGATTTATGTAAATTCTACATTTATTTAAGTACATTTTCTTGCAATGCAATAGAAGTTGCTTTGCAGCATTAAAATATTTGTGTCGCATTATATCTATTTTGACTTATTTAAATTCAAAATTCTCATAATATCCGTTAAACTTCGATACCGCATGCAATATGTTAATTTAAATTGAATGAATAATCTATTTTATTTTGCATATTCTATTTTGATAAATACAAAAGTCAAGATTTTTAAGCTTATTAATATTTATAGTTTATTAGCATTTACACTTTACACATACACATTCATTAGTATTTATACCTTAAACATACACTATTTTGAAAATTTTATTAGTTAATTTGCATTATATTAATGAAAAATGTTATACATAGTGTTCAATAATTCGCGACCCACCTTTCATGGGCAGATAAAGCATGTTAAACTGAATAGAAACGTCCTGTATCATTTTGCAATATTTGCAATAATTATTGAGTTATTTATTATAATATCTAAGCAAATAAGCGGAAAGAAGCATTATCTGATCGAGAGGCGGCGTCATGCAGCGAACAGTGAGCAATATAGCGGCGCAGAAAAGTAAGATGATACGTTTGAGACTCAGCAACATATAACAAATAAGCCGTCCGGCATGCCCACCGAGTCCGACCTACCGCTTTCTATCTGTTTATTCGCTTACAAAGGGAGGTCGCGGTTGACTCTTCACCGATTTTGATCTCCTTTGGTGTGGTGAATCTATATCGAAAAAAATTGAGTGTTCGAGCTTTTCGTCCAATGCGCCTTCTAAAAAAAAAAAAATTTTTTCCTTGCATTTGGAGAAATTACCAGGTTTGTTATCAGGCTTAAAGAAAGATACGCTTTTGATCGGTGCCGCTAGTCCAGTGGCAGAACAAAAA